GATCTTCGTTCACGTCTTGGTGATTCATTCATAGAGTACCTGTGTTTAGCCAGTTTGATGAATGGAAGCCTTACAGAGGTGAAGGGATTAAAACCTGACCTTATACATGGTTAAAGCAGATAAGGTCAGCCTTTTTTTTTCAGAGAACCCACTGTTTAGTTTATGGCAAGTTTCTTAAGCACCTGATGGAGACTGACGCCGGCAGGCGCAGCGAAGCTGAAACTATAACCATCATATACTATAAGCAACCATCCTTTACATATAAAACCGATTATAAAAAGACCATTGATGATTTATGGAGTACCGATTTAGAGACACAGTTAAAGAAATCGACAGCAAATGTTGTATTTGGATTGATGGAGAAGGGGAGACAAACAGCCCAAAAGTCGCAGGTGTTTAGCAGTCTGAAGGAGGCTTTAAACTATCAAAACGAGTATGGAGGTAAGATTAGCATACTTCACGAGGTGGCTTATGATGAGGATGATGAAGAATATTATGTACCTAAATATTATATACTAACTGTTTCAGACACAGCGGTTTTAAAGAATGGGTTCAAGTTTATAAAGGAGTTGCTATTGCAAAATCATAGCTTTAAAATGCTTATGGACTACAGGAAATTGAGGGCTAATAAGGTTGAAGTATTTAGTGGTAAAACCGATGCATTTACAATATTAGCAAAAGAACTAGAGAAAGCTAAAACGATATTAAACTTCGGCGATGAGATAGGAGACTGGAGACATTCTAAAAACGAATTTATGTACCCCGAGCGCAGTATCTGTTTGAAAAAGAACGACCTGATTAAAATACTTGAAAGGGCTAATGAAACGCTAGAAGTTTCAGATGAATACGATACACCTGCTATAGTGGAGCAGATTAAAGGAAAGGGAGTGGTAATGATTAGAGGATTATATGCGGGTGCGGGCAAGTCATATATACCTGAATGGATGGCTCAGAATGGTTTTAGGGTGCTGTTCGTGATAGGTACAAACAACCTAACTCAAGAAGTAAGCGGGGAAGCCATAACTGTAAATAAGTTTTTTGCCATTAACTTCGGTGAAAAAAGGCTACAACCTTTTGACTATTCAGAGTATGATGTTATCGTATTTGACGGGATATATTTTAACAACACCTATAAACTGCATAGGATACAGGAATTTGTAAAGAAAAACCCCGATAAGATAGTTATAGGAGCAGGCGATGTGTTCCAGTTAGAGCCCGTGGAGGATGCTACAAACACCAGAGACCACGAAGAGTATATGAACGACTGTATAAACCAAATGTTTAAATACAACATCTGGCTGAGGATATGTAAAAGGCTGAAATCAGAAGAGGACAGAGTTAAGTTAGAGAGTATAAGACGGGATTTATTAGAAACAGAGAAGCCTATAAAGGAGGTGGTAGAAGGATACTTGATACACACGGATAAGAGATGTGCGAAAACAACATAGCCTATACGAGCGAGACTTGTAGAAAAATAGCCAGCGAGATTAGGAGAATGAAGCAATTAGGCGACGATTACATAGTAGGAGACAGAGTTATATGTAAAAAGTATTTAAAACTTAAGAAGGACAAGTGGAACGCAAACATTACATACGAAAATATGAAGATTGATGAGGAGAGGGTGGTGCCAAAGAACATTAAAACGGAGGTGGAGCAAACAATGTTAAAAGAAGGTTTTGAAATCCCATTTTGTGTATGCCTACTGTTATACAGCCCATTCTAAGCAAACATGCTCGGTGAATGATGAGATAATTATATACGATTGGCAACGACCATATTGTAGCAGGAAGTGGATTTGGGTTGCAATCACGAGGTGTAGAGACTTAAGTAAAGTCAGGTTCTATAAATACGATGTTAATACTATAACCGAGGAGGAACTACATGAATACTTTAACAACAAGGTTAAAAACTATATGGAACAGGATAGAGAAGCAAAAAGAGAAATGAAAGCAAACGAGTATGTGAATGTAGGGTGGCTAAAGGAAAGGATGAAGGGACACTGCGGACACTGTGGAGAAGCCTATGTAATTGAAAAGGTAGATGGAGTTATAAGAAGCAACTTAACAGCGCAGAGGGTAGATAATAATTATCTTCATTATAAAGATAATTGTACTGCTATGTGTAATCTATGCAATTGTAGTTTCCATTAGTTATAATATAATCTGTATTATTATGAGTAGTGATAACAAAGATGATATTATACGTAGTATATATTATGACAGAAGTGGCTATGGCTCGGTTCAAACGACTTATCAAGATGCAAAAAAGAAGGATAAAACGATAACAGTTAATGATGTTAAAAAATGGTTTGAGAAGAACGTAGAAAAGAAAAAGCAGTTGTCAGGCTATAATTCTTTCGTAGCCCCTTATGCTAAATATGGATATGAAATGGATGTATTTTTTATTTCCAAGAATGATTTACCTAACGAGAAGTTTAGAGTAGGGCTGATAATGGTAGATGTATTTAGTAAGTTTATGGCCGTAGTGGCTATTAAAAGCAAAGATCCGCCAGATGTTTTAGCTGGAATTATGGAAGGGATACAGAAAAT